CCCCTACTACACCCCCATCCCCCACAGCTGGATCAAGAACACCTATGAGCTGGCCGGCCTCAGGAAGTTTGCCGATGACAAGGAGCTCCACAAGGTGGGAAGAATTGGGGTGGACACGGCAGCCGTGACGTTGATGTGCATTCAAGGGCCCGCTGCGGGCCCAGGTTTTCTCTCCTTGCTTGTTGGGATTCCGCACGTGTTCCTTGAAGGGCGAGAAGGGCAGTTGAGGGGCTGCCGTGTGGGTGAGGCTTTGGAGAGAACCCCAGGGGGATGATCAGGTGTGCGATTTTGCAGGGACTCAGGGAAACAAGGGCGCCCGCCTCTGACCGACCAGGCACCTGACAGTCCGGCCGGGCCTGCCGTGGGAATGGCCTTCGCCCCAGCGCAACCCAGGCCTCGCCCACCACCTCGCCTGCGTGGGGCACCGCGGCGTGCTCCGCAGCAACCACCCTAACCCGCCACCCCCACCCCCCATACTATCCCGGAGTGCAGAAGTGGCGGGCGGTGAAGCAGGCCAACAAGAAGCGCCTGGCGGCCTACATCCAGTCGATCTACGGCACCGAGGTCAACACAGACGCGCTGTTCGATATCCAGGTGCGCCGTTTTTTCTGCGGTGGCAGGGGTTAAGCGGGGGGGCTTTTTTCTTGGGCCTGTTCGGTGGGGCCTGTTGGATACGCCTGGGTGTTGGGGCCTCGTTTTTCGACCCGTTTTTGCGTCGTATTCCTGGGGCGGAGTCTTGCAGGGCGTATTGTGGGTGGCCTCGCATCGGTTGCGCCGACGTCCAATTTTAGCCGGTGGAAGGACTGGCGGATCTGGGTGTGTGAAAGCACGCAGCTGTCAGGGCCGGGGCAGGGCCTGCAGAACAGGGCGCGAAGTGCAGACCCGCCCCCGCCCTCGCGGCCGGGCTCCGTCGGGGCGGCTGCGCCCGCAAAGCCACACGCGCAAAGCCCGCCGGCAGACGTAGCCCCGTACACGCCAAGCACCACCTCGCGCATCTCCCTTGAGCCTGTTTCGGCCCACGCGCCCATCCTCAAACCCGTCGAGCCCAATCACCAATCCAACCGACCATCTGACCAACCATCCGCCTCTCATCCAGGTGAAGCGCATCCACGAGTACAAGCGGCAGTACCTGAACGTGCTGTCCGTGATCTGGCGGTACAAGCAGCTCAAGAAGCTGAGCCCCGAGGAGCGCAAGAAGGTCGTGCCGCGCGTCGTGGCCATCGGGGGCAAGGCCGCCAGCGGTGAGGGGGGAGGGGCGGCGCATGGGTGCGGGTGCGTGACTGCACGCCTGGTGTGCGCTGGCGCCCCCGGGGGGAGGAGGTTGCTCGCAGGTCCTTGGGCGTGGCAATGGATGGGGCAAGAGTTGTACCGCCATGCTGCTAGCCGCAAATTCAAATTGCATCCGTGTGCACACTCACTCACACACACACACACGCGATTTTTGACACACACAACACACACACACACACACACACACACACATACACAAACACACATACACAAACTCCACCCCCCCCCCC